TTGCCATGATATGTGAGTAAGATTCCCTGAGATATACAGATTTACTGCCTGATACCTTTATATTAAAGTCAGACTGTATAGGAATTTCCTAAAACAATACCAAAGTAATCCATACAATTTTTGATGGTCCACGAGAAGTGTGTGAGCAGAGGGTGAAATCTATCTCCTCTCTCTCTCTGCGAGATATCAAACATCTTAACCAGTTAAATACAGATCCTGTGTGGCATTGGTTTAACCTATAACTGACCTCCACCTTCCAGTAAAATCTGAACTGAAGAGTAAGATCAGCACACAGCACAGTCTCGGAAGGGTAAAAAATAAGTACATTTCTGCTTAATAAAAGTTTGTGTAGTAGTACTAATAATAAAGATACAAATTAAAGCCAGTGGAGCACACTAGGTGGTCTGGTTTAGATGTGGTCCGGTTTTCAAGATAAGTCCGTGCCCTTGTTCAGAAGCATGCAGACCTCAAGATGAAACACCCTGACACACGGAGACACTTTTCCACATTCCCTGGATAACTCCACATTCCCATTCCTCTGAAATTGACTTGTACACCAGCCAGGAGACAAACAAAGCAGCCCAACTACACGCGTGCAGGAGCGAGGGCTGTTATTATGGACAATTAGGGTCGCTGTTATTTAGGCCACAAGGAAAAAAAAAATCTAGGAAAGTGACTTGAAAAATTGACGGTGCCGGCTGCTTAGGGTTCATAGTTGCTAATGATCTTAACTTAGTTGACAGAAAACAAATTGGTGCAAATATCAGTGGGGACCGGAAAGGTGAGCAGTGCAACACTTGTGTGTGTGTATATATCTGTGTGTATATATCTCTCTGTGTGTATATCTGTTTATATGGTTGTGGTAAGATTTACATATGTGGTTACTTACAGGAAGAAAGTGAGGGATGGGGGCAGGATAAGGGTAGGGTGCGGCATACTGGATCACTTTACTACACACACACATTCAGACAAGCACCGTCTGACTAGCAGGTGAGGCAGGTGCTCTTTAGACATACAGTCGACAGGGGAGAGAGGAAATGGTTGGAGGGACAGGCCGTGTGCTGACCTGGGTTATAAATCTGTTCATGTGTCTCATTTGGCAGCAGAGCGGGGTCAAACATACAGGCCATTAAAACTCATTTACACCGTAACAAACTCCAACCCATTTTTTTTTTTCACTTAAACCACTATCACAAATGTATTGTTTTCACAGGTCAGTCATTAGGTTCTGTTCATCTCCAGCCGGCTGTAAATCAGTTCAAAGTGCTGACTCACAGCAACATTCAGCTGGTGAGTTTGACTCAGACATACCATCGGTAATCTGATAATCCAGAGAACTCCCACCGATATCTAATTGTGTTCCAGCCAAAATATGTAGCCTTTGTATAATCCATCCACAGTCACACAGACAGCAGCGGCAGAGCCATTAGCACCAGCAGCATTAGCACCAGCAGCATAAGCAGCAGACTCATATGACAAAACTCTTACTCATCGGGACTGCAGACGTTCTCTCAGCTCAGCTGTTCACTCTGGGTGAACACAGTGAGTCTGGTTTGTTACAAGCATGGGCCATAAAACAGGGTCGAAGCAACATTTCTAAATGGTATAAAGTCTGTGCTTTTGTTTATCTATAAACTTTCAACTCATCTAAACCTTTCATCGTATACAGCTGACTGCTCGTATGGTATTACAAAAAAGGTATTCCACAAAAGTAGAAGAAACTTCTGTTTGCTTAAAAAACTGCTTATAAAACAAACCTAAATTTTCCATAGAATATGTGCAAAAGAGCAGTGAAGCAAATAAACACAAACAGCTGATGATATCCAAGAAAAATAATAATAATACATCAGGCAGCTGGAAAAAACTGCCAGTAATAAGGTTAAAGGTAACTTAATAAAAACCCAGCTGAAGTTAAATTGAGTCAGATAATTAAAAAATGACCAAAGCTGTAGGTAAGTTATCTAGAAAGATAACAATAAATACGTCTTGAAATTAGCTAAATGTGACAACCAAATCAAAACTGTGACGACTGGATGCAAACCCTGAGTTAGACCCTGGACATGTCTGGAGTAAAAACACAAAAACCAAAACAACTGTGTCACACAGACCCACCTTCACGCCTCAGAGCCTTATGCTAAAATGCCTCACAGTGTGTGTGTGTGTGTGTTTATGTGCACGTGTGCTACGGCGCCAGTCTTCAGCCATGTACAGTTTTTCTAACAACCCCTCATCCAACATACTCCAGACATGCACTTACCTGCCCTGCTCTGTAACAGCTCACTGCTGCACTGTAACCATCACACAGTCACACACACACACTGAGAAACACACACACACACACATACACAAGCTGCTGCTCCAAACATTACTGATGCAAACACACACTGCTAACAAATGAATAGAGAAAGAAGAGATGCCATTGGCTGGATGTTTGCATCTTTGTGCGCATTGGTAATTGACCTTCATGTATAAAAGTCAAGTAGAAACAACAACAACAACAGAAAAATCATTTCCAGACACAAACGAATCATTCAGAGCATTATTACCTGGATGACTTAGTTAGAAAAATAAAAAATAAAAAATCAAGTCCAAACCCCAAATCACACTGTGGTCAAACGTCCTGAACAGAGCAGACAAACAGTGTCTGCCATTGTGTCGGGAGTATGTTTGCTGTCACATGCATGCCATGCACCTGGCACACAACTGCACAGCACTGCACTGTGCAAGTTTGCACCACACAACGACACACAACTTTCGCTCTCAGACAAACAACCTGAGCCAACTTCCCTGGAGCACAGAGCACCAAGAAGAAGGTGCAGTGTATGCACAGCTTTTTTTTTTCGTGTTCACAAATTGTGTTGATGTTTTTTCATTTTCTCTACTGTACCTCACTGGGATCAGCGGTTGCGTGTA